TAAAAGTTTAGGGCTAATGTTTTATTGCGAGTCGTTGATATAGTTTCTTGCAGCTTAAGGTCAAGAATGTGAAGTTCCCATGGAGGGGGGACTCCTGCCAGTGTAATATTTAATCCTCTGTTTTTATTTCTTCTTTTTTTTTTTCCAGGTTAATCCTTACATTGATGGTCTCACTGTTGTCAGGTTACAGGTAACAGTGTACAAAGCGATCAGAGCAGCAAGCAAACGCTTCTCCACTGTTTTTATAGCAGAGGCTCACAATGCTGTAACAAAGTTCTGGCTGTGCAAAAGTAGTGAAGCAATTGTTTCTCAGGAAAGTTGAACCACGAGCTGGTCAGCTCTGTACCCTTGAAAAGGTCAGTATTTAAAACTCCACAAGCAGAAAAAAAGTGCTGCAAGACTAAAGAACTTTTTTTCTGAATTTATTACAAAACACATGCAATACTATTTTATTTTATAATCTATTTCCTTCCTACTTTCCAAAACACTTCCTCCTTTCAAAAAAATAAAAAAATAAAAAATTATTTATATATATATATATATATATATATATATATATATATATATATATATATATATATATATATATATATATATATATATATATATATATATATATATATATATATATATATACGAAAGAGGATTAGGGCCACTGGAAAAAAAAAAAGGAAACTGATTTTAAAATTTTATTTCAGTTTAGCATTGGAAAAAAGTAAGAATTCTGACTTTTTTCTCAATTCTGACTTTAATCTCAGAATTTTGGATCTTAATGTCAGCTTGACTGACAAAGATGTGAGTTGTTTGAGGTGGCTAGTGACACATTGGTGGAAAATAACTGATGAATGAATTCGGCAACTTTTTACGTGCCCGAGGGGTCCCCTCATTAATGGAGGAGCAGAAGGTCATTAAAACAAGAGAGCTAGTCTCTAAAAAAGACATGGATATGGCTTGATGCTAAAATGTTTGTTAGCTGTCAGAATTCTGAGAAAAAAGTCAGAATTCTGAGATTAAAGTCAGAATTCTGAATTTTTCCCCCATACTATACTGAAATAGAATAAAAAAATCAGTTAACTTTTTTTTTTTTTTTTTCAGTGGCCCTAATCCTCTTCCGTATATATATACCCTAACCTAAACAATTCCCAGAAAAAAATGGGAATATTTCTTTAACAGTTTTAAGATACGGAGCAGGTGTGTTCTGTCATTCCTATTTTGTTATTTAGTTAATATCTAAGTTGGATGAGAATTGTGTAAGTACAATCTATACAGCAGAAGTCAAATGGATCAAAACCACTTAAACATAAGAAGTCAGAATAATGTGAAAAGGACACTGCTTGTAGAAACTCTGATTAAACCAGGCTATGTACCAAACCCCGGGAACAAGAGCTCAGTGAAAATTTGAAGAGCAATACTAGTTATAGGGTTTTAAGATTTTCAACTTTTTCAGTTAGATTCTTTTGGGGTTTGATGCTTTAATTTCGGTATTCCTAGACATTTAGCATGATGTATATATTTAAGGGCTTGTATGTAGCATTAACTGCTAATCTACTGCTAACATGAAGGAATACATTTGGAGTTGCTACACACAAATATGCAAAACATTGCATCGTTAAAGAGTGAATATCTAAACAATAGAGGCTCAGTAACCAGGTAGATGGCTAATATTGAACTTGAAGGAGAATGAAAGAGGAGTTTCCAAGTTTTATGAGAAAGGAAGGCCCTCCGTTTCCCACAATGCCACAAAACCCTCTGAACACGATGTTGTGTCAACACTCAGCTGTCTCTAATGGTAAAGACAGTTAAGCTTAAGATTTGCAGCCTGTAACCTCAGCAGAGATATCGTCTTTGAAGAAAACTAATGAGGGTGGTGCAAAGAAACCACAGCAGCTCTTGTGATCTTTAATTCAGAAAAGTCTTGCGTTAAAGGAAATAAGCAGACAGGGTTCATAATGGTATCTTATAATGCCTTCACTTATAGTTTCCTGCTCATTACAGAACTACAAGCCTGACAAAAGACCTGTTTCCTTGCCTTTGCCCAGTTTAATGTCTAACCACAGGTAGTTTTATGCTGCTGTTGTATTTAAAATAGAGGAAGTGTAAAAACGCAGCTTTAACACCTGCTCTGTGGTTTTGCAAAAAGTAGTGCATGGGGTAAGAGGATTTGAATCCTGTTTTGGGGCTTCCTTTTCTTGTTATTTACTCGATAAACTGGTTCAGGATTATGAGAGAAGGGATGAACCGTTTTCCATGTAAACCGGCAGTTTCCCACAGCATGCTGGGAGGGCTGTCGTCACAAATAAATCAATTTGTTTCACAAAGAATGACTTGCAAAACTCTGAATGCCCCTTTGAACATTTAGCCATGTTAGAAGCACAAACTTCACAGATTTTATGTGGGTTTTATGCAACCGTGTGTAATTGGAAAGGGAGGATTAGGAATAGCCATGAGTGAGTTGTTTAGAATTCTAATTTTACATCTAATCTGTCAAACCATATATATATACCGTATATTTTTTGTTAAAAGAAGAAGCATCCAAAAAGATAAAAGCTGCTAGCAGATAGACACGAAGAGACTTTGGTTGTAATTGGAGTACGAGTTGGTTGTACAAAGGTTCACCGTCTCGCTTTACCTCAGATTTTTGTTCACAATGACCTACTTTACATTATTCTCTCATAACATCCCAATAAGACAAGCTTCTGGTCATAAAGTGACTCAGTGTAACTCAAGGTGTGTGGCTATTTTCTTCAATGCATATGTGGGATGAGTCCCTATCAACTGTGTCTTCTGGCTTAAAATCCCTTTTGGTTTAAATAACACAACTCACCGTGAAATTACCTGTGAATTAAATAGTTGATTCCTTACCTGCCAGCTGCTTGTTGGTTAATGTCCAACATGGTTTCATAGAAGAAAGTTCATAAATCCAATATGAGGTGAGCTTACAGGACTCAATGAATCTGATTTGGGGTTTTGGCCTTGCGTGTGTGGGTTCGGCGATCTCTGAACCTGCAGCTTGTTGCCACAGACACACACCTGCAAAGCTACCAGGGCAAAAATAAACCAAAAATATTTCCCCTGAAACCCTGGAAACTTTGTTGCTGTATGTGCAAAGGGAAGCTCTGGCCAGGATTTATGTGAACACGGCATGGTGAGTTTTCTTTCTTTTCTATTTTTACAAGTAAGTTTTTGGTCCAGTTACTGCTGTTGAAGAAAAAAAAATAGAGTTCACATCAAATGCATTTGAAATAACTAAATATTTGGCATAATCTCCCTTTTTCCTCTTGTTTTTGCCTTTTTGCACTTAAATGTTTCAGAATCATCACATCAACCTAAGTAAATACAAAATGTGGTTTTCAAGTTTTGATTTGCATTGCTTGAGAGAAGAAAACTTTCCAAACCAACCAGGTCCAATGTGAAAAATCAAACAAATAACCCAGATCATCTAAAACCATGAAGCCGACCCTTGCCTGATCTAAGGTTAGAGTTTGTGGTTAAAAAAAATAAATGAATGGATTGTGCAGGAGGATGCAGATGATACTAAAAAGTTAATGTCTATAAAAAGAGGAAAGCTTTACTGAGGCCTAGTCAAAGTATGGAGAGTGTTGAAACAAGCTATTCATGCTGGAAAACCCCTTTAGTGATGCTGAATCGAAACAAGTCTTAAAAGAAAGGAAGGGAAACATTTCTTCCCCATCATAAAGACTTGGTGGATGTTGTTTTCACAAAGGGTTAAAAAGGTTTAGGTGGCTCTGCTTGCTAAGAAAAGGCTGCAGGTTCTAGAGGCAATAAAAGCAGCCTGGCTTGTCACGATCCCGCCTTTTCACTTGAACTGCGTCTTTATCAGTCACCTAAACTGGCCCAACAACCATCACTTTCTGAGAAAAGATACCTTATCGCCGTCCCACCCTCTCTGCAGGGAGGAAACCCAAGGCTTGATCTCCAACATTTCAAAAAAACCTGCAGCTGTGTATGTACTGTGCCAGTTAGCCAAAATGGGAGCTTAAAGCTCTTATTTTTCTAAACTTAAAGGATTAGATAGATCTACTACGTGACGTCTTTGCACGAATGATCCAGGATGTACAAAAGAAATCATAACTGAATGTTTGTTTAAACATCCCAGCTATGAAAAGGAAGTAGAGACAAGTTAACTATGGCCCCACTACCTGAAAGAGACATAATGAAGTATTTCACATGTGTTTAGTTCCTCCTTTAACGCTAATGTCGTTTACAGGGAGACAAAGCTGGTTTAAAGGAAGCGAAGACTAAAGAGGGAAGGTTTGGTGAAGCGTAACAGTTTAAATTCCACCTACCGGTACATTTTTGTTTTTTTCTGAAAGAAGGGGAAATCAGCTATGAGGGAGGATGATGCAATTTTCAACTCAAATGATAGCAGGAAGAAGGGGGGGTCTTTTTTTTAACTCCTGCAGTGGGATGATATCCTATCTGTTAAAAAAATAGGACTCCACTCACACTTGCAGGAAGATAGTGACACCTTGTAGTTACGCAACACACCATGCTGACTGTGGGAATATTTGGATGTTTCAAAGCAGTAAAGAAGTATGGTGGCCTATACATACGTGTCGCATCATGCTAGAATTTCTTTAGTATTGTTGCACTCCTTTTCCTCCAGAAATTTCTCAATAATACTAATTTTTCCAGTGGAGTTTAAACAAGCTGCAACTTGTTCGCCTTTACTCAAGATCTGCTGAAGAGAAACTTCAAAGTTTGATATGTGGAAGCAAGTATTTAAATCTATGTGGACTTTTTTTCCCTCAGTTTCAAAGGTTGTAAATTTGAGCTTCAAATATGTCTTGTTTGAGTCCAATTCCAAGTCGCAAATCGAAACAACAGCGTCCACAAGTGGAGGATATTAAGAACTACGTCACATTTAAGGTACAAAAATATTTATTCAGTGCGAATACATAGTAAAACATTCACAGACACTCAGAATTTCACACGTTCCTTCAAACACTCTTTATCCAGCATCCTGTGCATCCGCATCGTTTTTTTTTTTATTCAGTGTCCAGGGCGGAAGGGGAACGGCATCCCTGACATGAAGGGCTGAGCGGGGTACTGAGCGTGGGAGGCCGGGTGGGTGGCGAGAGGCGTGTGGGGTGTGTGTGCCGGCAGCGTGGGGATGGCGGCGTGTGCGGGGATGGGCGAATGAGCAGCATGGGGGCTGTAGGCCAGCGGAGGGGTGTGGATGTTGTTGTAGTACATGACCGGGCCGGACAGCACCAGCTGGAGCAGACTGGGGGTGGAAAACATGTTCAGATAAGTTCAGGTGGAACATCACACACAAAATGAGGATCTAAAAGTGAAATTTGTCATTCTGGAAAAAAAAAAAAAAAAGATGAGCTTACTTGTTGTGAGGAAGGCGGGAACAGATGGCTCTCAGGTCCTCTGTGAAGACAGAAACGCATCAGGATTTATCACTGCTTCACTTTAAGAAATGGAAATGTCTTGAGAGCTGTACTGAACAAAATGTTATGTATAAACTCTGCGTGTACAAAATGACAACAAAGTTTGTCTAATTCTAAGATTTCATGTTAACATCAAAAGCCGCTGGATGAACAGGCAAACCTAAATCTGATGAATAATCCTAACCCGGATTCTGTGTTTTAAGGCTTAAATGTTTGTACAAAAAACAAACAAACCCACATAAAAGTATTTCATTGGTTCTCACGCTGCGGTTTGGGTCACCTCAGTATAATCTCTGCTTTCATTTTATTGATATAACCATTAATTTACAGTACAACTGAACATGTGAGATATATAAGCCTTTAATATCAATGATTATTGATTAGTATTTGGATTAATAATGGCTGAACCACAGATTTAGGAGCAGAGACCAGGCAACCAGATATGTAATCAACTTAATAAAGTCCAAGGGCCGGATTTATCAAGATCCAATTTTGCGTGCAGTAATTTGCGCTCGCAAACTGGAATTTTGCGCGAGGGGCTGAACCATGGTTTGCGGGTGATTTAACAAGAGCGATTGCGTAACTGGTGGCAGGTGCAAAACTGTTGGAGACGCCCTATTTAAATGATGGTTTTGCGCGTTTTGTGGTTTGCGGCAAAGTAGTTTGTTGTTTGTGCAAACTAGTGCATTAAGAAATTTTAATCTTACAGTGACACCCCCACCCCCTCCGGAAAAAAAAAAAAAAAAAAAAAAAAAATTATATATATATATATATATATATATACACATATATATATATATATATATATATATATATATATATATATATACATATATATATATATATATATATATATATACATATACACACACACACTTTGGCAACCTTTATTCCCTAAGGTGGTCTGTGGCTGAATTTCTACTTCACTGCAGTAAAAAAAAAAAACGCATCCCCGCAGCATTGGCACATCCCATTGGCATGTTGCTCCACAGGCTCAAGGATGAGGTCGGGGTTCTCCGATAAGGCGTCAGGGCGACATGGCATTTAGAACGTCGGACAGCACTTCTGAAAAACGAGATTGGGAGATCCCAGATGCAAAAAAGTGCAATGTTGCAAGGAGTTTTGTGATATCTGGTATTGCGTGGGTCCTCCTTGTGGCTGGCTCCAAATCCATTCGGAGTTCCCCCAACAGCTCCAAAATGGCAATGCTGGATAAACGACATGTTTTGATGATCGTTTCCTCGTTCATTCCAAAAATATTCACACGGAGTGAAAAAATGCGTTCTCTGCGTCTCCTTGCTTCATTTCGATGTCTCCTTCTTGCGACAATAACCGCTGCCATGTGTGCGCAATTACGCATACAGACCATTTGCACCTTCTTTTGAAACGTGTTAAATATAGAGTCAGATACTGTTAGCAAAATTGCTTTCAGGTTTAATAAATCACTTTGCGAGTGCTAAATTAATATATTTACATGTTCTCCTCCCACAAGACGCACTTTTGCGTGTAAACGCCCTATATTGAATATTCATTGCATAAAAAGTACTAAATGGATAAGAGGCGCTATTTAGCACGTTTTAAAAACCAAATCATTTTAGCACGCTGTTGATAGATCAGTTTGTACATTTTCTAGCGTGCGCAGTGAAATAGCTCACGTTTTTATACACGCAAACCTTTGATAGATCCGGCCCCAAGAGTTTATTGTAGACCAAATGGGTCCACTTCCCCTAAAAGATTTTGTTAAGGACACTGGGACAGTTTGCTTTTTCTAAGCATTCATGGCACAAAGTCTAGAGAATGAAGTGTGTAAAATGACTGGTTGTGCCTGTGTTTTTTGGGCCATGACCTGGAGCGGTTCCTAGAAAAGTCAAAGCCAAGCTGAATAAAAACAGAATCATTCAATCCCCACATCCCATAATATTACAGCATGGCTCTCTGTCAGTAAACAGCTTTCTCTCTCTTCCCATTCAAAGTCTGTGCCGGTTATTTCTTATATTCAAATACCAGAAATGTGTTAAAAAGTCTTATCACTGTTACTGAATAAAATTAAGATTGTGATAAATATTGATGTTGACTTACAGCCCAAAGCTCTGCACAGCCATCTGGGATTGGATTTAAATACTAGGATGTTTGCTGCCATTTTATAAGTTCCTGTTTCTGCTGTTTATTGTCCAACTGTAACTAAAGACCATTTGATGCAGAAAAATACAGCAAAAAGGGCATAAAAAGGCCTTAATAAGTTTAATAGCTTCGTGTCATGGAGGAGGGGATAATTTAGAGACTAAACTAATCATTAAAAGTGACATATTGTGTCTGATAAAGTTGAATAATTTGCTAGCAAACCTAATTTTCAGAGGGAACTGAATAACTTTAGATGAAACTGGATGTTTTTGGTGATTTTATTTGAACCAGCAGAGAAGGATCTGAAGGTCTGCAGACTTTTTACATCACGAAATGACTGAAGATGATGGAGAAACGTCAGCGGCTTCTTTTTAAAATTCCCTCTTTTGTAAGGCAGTAGTTTTTTCCTTCTCATTTAACCACCTCTGAGTTTTTTAATCACTCGTACCTCTGGAGCAGAGCAGAGCTCCGCTGGCCATCGCCACCTGCAGAGCCTGGGCCAGCCTGTCCAGGGCCAGCTGGGACGCAGCGTGTGCGTCGGCGGTAGCTGCATGTGTGTGTTTGTCAGCCTGGTCCAGCAGACGAGAAAGGTCGGAGGTCAGAGCGGCCACGGACTCCATCTGAAGCAGCACGAGGCGACCGAAGAGGCCCTTCTCATTGAGTATGGTAGGCAAGAGCATGAAGACCTATATTAGAAGAGTGAAGAAAAAAAAAATTGTGGGTTGGGCCTCACAGGGAATCCATAATGCTACTAACAAGCGCACACCTGGAGAACACTTAGATGGAGAGCAGAGAAGAGACGCGCAGCATCTGGCGCGCCGTCCGAGCTTCCATCGCTCACGGCCAGCTTCCTGTTCCGTCTGTAGGCCAGCGGAGCTTTGACGCACCAGCGGATTAACCCGCCGAGCGGCGTTACGTCCAGAGAGCTGAGGGGCTGGCTGCCTGACAGCGGGGAGTTCAGGAAGGTAATCAGAACCAGGCGATGGTCGTCTTGGATCCAGGACACGATCATCTGGAGGAGTTCTAATGGAGGCGTGAGCTCCTCTGAAGTTAAAAAAGGAAAAATAAATCAAGGATTGTAAGCGAGGTGCTAAATTCGACACGCTAAATTTGAGGCCTTCTGTTTAATTCTGAAGTACCGGAGGTGAGGTCATAAAGAGTGGTGACGGCGGTGATGAACTGGCAGCAGAAGCGGGGACTGGCACTGTGGATATTCTGAAGGGTGGGTCCAGATCCTGGCAACATGCTGCAGTAATCGTCCACCAGAACCTGCGCCAGACGGACGCAGTACACACGATGGGTCCTCTGTAGACATTAGAGTCAGAGTAAGATGACTTCCTCCCAAACAGATATGCTCAAGGGTTGATTGATTGACAGGAGTCAGAAAAAAGCAGATATGTTCTACATCATGATTATATTTGATTTTATGTTAGTCTGGCATATGATACCACTTAAAGGCAAATTCCGGTTTTTAACACTTTTAGCCCATTTTCTGTAGTGTCCAGGATGAAATCGAATGATCGACACCAAAATTTTGACGATTGGTCCTGTCTCTGCTATTTGGCTCATGCAGAATCACCCCCTGGCTGCTTCAGAATGGCTTCCATAGTGCATGTCCGATAATGTCCTTAAAACAACCTTAAACGTTCTTTTTTTAAAATATGCTACTCACCGGGTCGTCAGTGCTGTTCAATGACGTTCCAAAAAAAGTTTCGTGAAGAAAAACCGTTCCTGTCTTGTTTTATTTAGCATTTTGTAAATCCCAGAACTATTTTTTTCTGATACATCACAACCGCTTATAAACTTCCGCTTCCCGTTCGAATCTGAAGCGTTGCACAGTCCAGACCACTAGTTGGCGACGGTATCCTCTACCGTCAAACTCAAAGTCCAATATGTCCTCCTCAAGAATCCACCTTTCGTATTCCATTTTCAGAGTTTTTTAAAGTGTTTAACAGAGACGTTAGCACCTCGACGTCGGAGTACACAGAGTGAAGCAGAAACACTTGGGCCTTGCGAAAAGACTACAACTAAGCGTAAACAGGCCCCATTTCCGTTTCCGGTGGCGGAGGGATATTGACTATTCCAACAGAACTCAATGGGATTTACAAAATGCTAAATAAAACACTACAGGAACGTTTTTTCTTTACGAAACTTTTTTTGGAACGTCATTGAACAGCGCTGACGACCCGGTGAGTAGCATATTTAAAAAAAAGAACGTTTAAGGTTGTTTTAAGGACATTATCGGACATGCACTGTGGAAGCCATTCTGAAGCAGCCAGGGGGGGATTCTGCATGAGCCAAATAGCAGAGACAGGACCAATTGTCAAAATTTTGGTGTCTATCATTCGATTTCATCCTGGACACTACAGAAAATGGGCTAAAAGTGTTAAAAACCGGAATTTTCCTTAAAGCCTCTTTCTCACTCAAATTAGCGCATTAACCCGGGTTTTTCAAACTGGTCAACACACTAATCAGCATATGGCTCCGTTTCCACAGGCAAAAAAAACTGGGTCTAACCCCTGGCTTGCAAGCTGATTGGCCTCTGTCCCCCCACAGCTGCGTGTCTGGTGACACCATCACGCTGGGTTAGCGTAATGATGTCACCAGTGCAACAGAAATCAAGAAAAAAACATGTAAGGAAGCCAGGGTTTAGTCAGTGTGCTTTATTGTTTTACTCTTTTATCTGTCCGAATCCCTCTCACCAGTACTGCATCATTTTTATAGAATGTAAACAGAGTTGTTTCGGTTTGTTAGATCAGAAGCATCTGGCATGGTGTGATGCGTTCAATGCTGTCACGTAATTTAGCAGGTAATCCCGGCTCTGCTGTTCCCACAGCATTGCAGATCATAGCCGAAGCGATTTTATAGCGGGGCGCTTGCCGAGTTGTTTGATCCGGGTCAGTGAGCTGTTCCCACTGCCATTAAAAGCCAATTGTTCCCGGGCTTAAACAGCTTTTTCAGCCAGTGGGAAATGGGTATCTTCTATTGTTAATGTTTTCTTTATATTAATAATAAATATTTTGTTTATGTTTAAAATTAGACTTGTGAAAGATTTTTGTAATCATTATCATACCAGGCGTCGGTTAAATTGATTAAAAATAATCCTTATTGCCTTATCAGACGTTGATCGGCCGTCCTCAACTTTTAAAATTCTAAGCTGACAAAATGAACATTAAAAACAGAAAATACGATCTGATGTTGGGGTCTGATGCTTCAAATAAGCATTGATTCCTCACCTGTAACCAGGTAGCTGCACATTCGAGTATAGGAACCCTGCCCACAGCAACGGCCATAGAGACCAGTTTGCTCAGCAACGCCATCCGGCTTTCGTCTGCCTGGTTTCCTTGAAGATTGAAGAGGGCAGAGAACATAAGCTGGCGCACTGTGTCCCGACTCTGCTCCTGAAAACAGCTGCACATGATCTCTAGGAGCTGAAGCTCCTGCAGGGCACTCATCCTCTGTGGAAAAAAAAAACAACAAAAACAAAACACAGATGGCTGTTAGCTTAATTTCTCTCTAGTGGAGTATTTGCTAACTAAAGGATAGGATACATTGGCCTGACCCTGACTGGAGCATTTCTATCCTTGGGCTTGTGCAGGATGAACTCCTCGATAAGATCCAGGGTTTTGGTGTCCACCTGAGGGGGCTGCCTGCCGGACTGCACCATGTTGCAGATGTAAATGTCCAGGTGGTAGAGCAGCTCCTTGGCAGCGCTCAGAACATCCCGAGGCAGCAGCGACTGCCGAATGTCACCCATCACAACCTGACAGAGGAGCACAGAGGTTTCATGTCAGAGGTTTTATGTCTGGATAACATCTTACAACCCAGTATCCTTTTAGGAATTATACATTTAGAAATACGTCTTCTGACAAGGGTTGCTGGTAAGATTAAAAACACCTTTTTTTTTAAAACAGAGCCCTTTAAACAATGTTTTATATATATTTTCATCAAGCCCAAAGTATTGTATTAAAATGTTTTGTTCTGATTTAATATTTTTATATTTCATAATCTTTAATGTGACCCTAATCTGGAAGCAGAAAAGTTAATTGAATTAATTCAACTAAATTAATTGAACTAAGTGAATTACATAAATAAATCAACTTTTCAATAACAATCTAATTGACTGAATACGACTATTTAACCAGTGTGGAAAATCACCACTTCGAGGAGTATTTTGTTTTATTAATTTGGCATTTATTCTTTAAAAACACCCAAAGCATTGCTTTAAATTCATCTGTGCAGTAATTTGTAATTGATGACTTTTTGTTTTCTTGAAGTACAAATATGAAGTAAAAAATGCTAATTTACTTTCAACTACTGGCCACTACACTGGAGGATACTTGTTGCCAAAACAACCATCAGAAGCATCAGTTTATTTACTTTTTTTGATAATGTGGAGTACTTCGTTAAGTAACTGTATTTTGCACACTTATTTAACTAATAGAATATATAATTTTGTCGAGAAAGCATGTTGAGTAGAAATATTTGTGTTTTTCATGGTGATAGATATATTTTTTATGCCTTTCTTTTTATAATCCCTGAATTGAATATAGTATTAAGCCTTGAAAAAGGCTTGAAAAAGGCAAAAGCCTTGCCTTTTTTTTATAATCCCTGAATTGAATATAGTATTAAGCATCAAATATTTTCCTGGGTATCGATATCCAGTTTGCAATTTTAGTACTGTGAAAACCATGCAGTCCACAAACACACCGTAGGAGCAAATAATTACAGAGGAGCTATGGGATGATCTAAGAAAAAGAAGACCAGGGCTTATAAGAAAACAGATGTTGTGCTGATTATTAATAGCGGGGGAGGTTTATTTTGTTATGTCTCAATGATTAAGTTAAGCATGTTAAAATTTGCATTGATCTTATTTTTAAGAGTGAAATCATTCTGCTGATATAAAAGATAAATTTATTCTAAGGAATTACAGATCTCATTTCCAGGGATGCCAATAAACATTTTAAAGTCTGAAAGCTGCTCCTGTAATAGTTAGGTTTGCCAACTGTCCTTTTAAAAAAGAACTGTCCCATATCAAGACACATAATGATGTGTCTAATTTAACTCAGGTTTGATTTAAAATAATAAAATAAAAATAAAGGGCGAAAATAAATTCATATATCAGTAGGGTGGAAGACAATTCCTGGCCAAGAATTGGTCTTATAAATTTGCACTGATTTGGTAACCCTAGTTATAATCCAGAGGTTTACTTTATTTTATGATCAACTGTGCTAGGTTAGGCAGCAGCAGCACTTGTATCACAACAAAGTGACAGTCCGAGTTCTATTAAGGAGCAAGAAATACGAAAGAATAACAAAACACATGAATAAAAAGAAAGAACTCATTTTAATTCCTAGTTTTACTGTGACTTATCCAGACTGAATGTGCATAAAATCGGGCTTTTCCAAGTATCAGCATCTCATCATGGACACAGACTGACTGTTAGCAAGGCAGCAGCTAGCAGCTATTTTTCGGCTTAGAGGCCAAATATCACAGACGGTTAGCTCTTCCTAGAAACATGACAAAGACATACATTTACAGATTTTACCTCTTCGACGTCTCTAAAGTCAGAAGAAAATTCCGAATGGGTAAAAATACATAAATAAAATAAATAAATAAAAAAGAACTCACTAGTGAGGAGAATGAACCACTTCCCTCCTGCTACGGAAGCCTGTTAGGTAAAACTCATTAGCTCTGGGAAATCGACATTCAAGCTGTTCTACATCAGAAAATAATGAAAATATAAAATGTGTTTGCAGCTAGAAGTTTCATACGGTAAGCAAGTTTATCAGTTATGGGCGGACCTTTAAGAATAAAACGTGATGTGCTGCTGTCAGGTTAACCCTTGGTCTCAACTCTTTAGTTGTTTCTAACCGAATTTCTTCAGTTTGTCCTATATGAATAATAATGAAACAATCCTAACAACAATAAATATATTTTGATTGGATAAGCTTGTTTGTTTTTTTACTCTGTATATTTTACACATTGCGTTTAACCTAAAATATTGGTGATTGTGGAAACATTTTATTTTTTGCCGCCCACCCCCAGCAACTAACAAAACCATGTAAACAATTTGTATTAAAGATGAAAACCAATTTGGAAATTCAGAAATGTAGCCTGTTCTTCTTCCTCTTTATGGGATTTTATTGGCGGTTGCCACGCAACGAAATGTGGCATTACCGCCACCAACTGGTATGGCGTATGGATCTTCTTCTTCTTTGTTAGATTGACGGATTGCAAACAACTTATAGGTGCATACCGCCTCCTACTGTAAACGAGAGTGTAGCTCTATATTTCCACTTACTATGTTCTATTTTTTATTTTTGTGTTATGTAAAAATAAAAACAATGCTTTATTAATAACCAAATTTTCCTCCATATCTCCATCTGTCCCTAAAATTCCTTTAATACTCAATTATCTCCCTTTTTCCCATAATTACTTTCCTTACCCTCTCTCTTTCAGTTGCACATTTAATGCAATCCATCAAAACATGATCCACATTTTCTTTTCTTTCACAATCCTCACATAAATCATTATTTCCATTCATAGTACAAACAAAAACTCATTCAAGTAGGTATGTCCAGGTCTTTATCTAGTATGAATGATCTCTTCCCTTCTGCTTCTTCATGATGTTTAACAATTACAGATTTTTTAACCCTATACTCTTCTTCCTTTCTCATCTTCATCCCATATATTATTGCCATAATTCTTTTTAATTATTGATTTACTTTCCCCTTTCCCAAAGGGAATCTGATCTATATTCTGCTTTCCTAAAGACCTTTTAGCTATCTTGTCTGCTATTTCATTTCCTCTCACCCCTTCGTGTGCTGGAATCCAACAGAACTGAACACCTATTCCATACCTAAATAACCTAAACAAACTCTGATAAATTTCTAATACAAGGTCTTTCCTATTATTTCCTCCGGATTGAATGCTTTCTATTGCAGCTTTAGACTCTGAGCAAATCACCTCCCTGTCTGGTCTAAGCTCCTCCACCCACTGTAAACTAATAATAATTGCTACCTTTTCTCCTGTGTATATAGATAAAAGGTCTGTTAATCTTTTACATATAGATATATTAAACTCTGGAATGAATATCCCTATTCCCAAATTTCCCTTTGAAATTTTTGAACCATCTGTGTAAATTTTTTAAATAACTATAATACAATTGTCTAATATATAAGCTAGTTTTAACCCCAACTTCATTAGGTTTCCATTCTCTTTTCAGGAGTGTGGCTCTGAAAGGCTACTACATACTTCTACAGAACGAAACAAAATCAACAAAACAAAACCAACAGAATAGAATCAACAAAACCAAAAAGAGAATAAAATCCTCTCAATTACATTGATTAATCTAAGATAATGAAAAACAATTATATAACACTTATCTCTTAAGTTCTTTCTAAGGATTCATATTAAATCAAAGCGTATTCTTTCCTTTTTAAGGTTTTGAACCATTTCCCTCCTTTTTCTTTCATACTTCTTACAGTGTACTTTAACATGTTTGAATGTAGCCTATTAGTAAACTACTGGAAGTCTTATGGAAATCACAAGATACTGCAGATTTATGCCATTTCAAGAGGCAATAATGGTCATAATTATCAGCAGCATCGGTGATTAAAAAAAATCAAATCAGTCCCATTTCAAAAGCATTTTCATCAAAACAATCAGATCTGCTTCCTGTGAGCAAATATCTGCATTCATGAAAAAAATTATATTTATTTTAGATTTAATAGCTGCTGCAACGCTAGAATTTATAGAAAACAAAATAAAAGAACTCTTACTTTTAGATATTGAGCAACATTTTAAGGAATTAAACCTACTAATCCTCTAGAGCCTCTCCAATTCAAAGTTGTCCAGATGAAAATCATTCTAAAGTCAGACGAATAGATATAGAAATAAAAATAAATGCACTGAAACAAGCGCGCGCTCTGCGCACCGCAGGAGCGCGCGTCCAGAAAAACAGGGATACCGCGCGCGCACTCCCGCTGCCGCGCGCTCCTCGCAGTACTTTGGTGTTCCGCACTTCTGCGTCCCGCCGGTTGATTCTCAGCATCCCACAAGATGACAATTAACACTCTGGCTAAAGGAGGACTGCACCAGGAGCAAATGTCATGCTTTCGGAAGGTAAACCTATTATTATATATGGCTTTTATAAAATGTTTAACTTTAAAAGAAAAGCGATCCACAATAATCTAACCTATTTAGATGTTTTGTAATAGAAAATTAAATGATAAATAGAAGAACATGGTCCTGTTATGCACGCTCTATTTTTTTCTGAACTTCTAACTTATTGATGAGTGCGTGTGATGTGAGTGTTTTCCTCTCCATGTGCGCGCTCCCCTGAAAGATGGAGAAAGTGATTGTGGCCATGCAGGACCCTGATATGGGCATAAAGATGAGAAATCAGAGGCTCCTTATCACAGTCATCCCGCACGCAATGACAGGTGTGTTTAAAATGATCTATGTAATCCATGTGCATTTGTAGTGAACATTTTTATTGTTCACTATCAATATACAGCAACACATATTTTAAATCTTTCTGTGTCTAACTTCTGCTTTTCATTCTTTTATCAATATATTTTTTCCCTCCTGCAGGTCAGGATATAATTACCTGGTTGATCCAGAAATACCACATAGGTGAAGAGGGTGAGTGGTCTAGGTGATAAAGGTCTTTGATTAATTCCCTGCCTCTGTGTGGCTGGCTTGTTGTGTGTCATAGGAGAGTTGCCAGGATATTGTGTTTGCTCTCAAGATGAGGTGGATGTGGTTTAGGTGTGTGATCCATGATCCAGAGGTTGCTGTTTCCAGTAAACAGGAATAGAGTGAGCCCCACTGGGCCATGAGTTTGATTAAGTCACCTGATGATGTGTGTTTGATTAGTGTTCCTGCTGAGCTCCTCGGGGGATATTATCATGCCTGAACTAATTTCAAGGTTGGAAAAAAGAAAAGGGGCATGCTGTTCTCTTTTCACTCAGTATGCACTAAAAGGTGGGAATGAAGGCAGTAAGCTGTCAATCATAAGAGGGATGAGGCATTTACCTGACTTCAGTTCAGTTGTCGTCTTTACAGCTCTTTATAAAACAAACAGATCCAAATTATGCACATTACCGTTTAACATAAGATAAATTAAATCAGATACACTGGCCTGAAATATTCACTCCATTGCCTCCTATCTCTGGTTTTAAATGAGATTGTTTGAGAGTTTCCACCAGTTTATTTAGTGAACAATCCCCCAACTTTGAAGTTGTCTTCTGTTTTTTTTTCTTTTTTCTGTTGAACAACAAATAGGATACATTTGAAAAACTGCATAACTGTTTCGTGTTCATCCTTCATCCCAGAATCTGTACTATGTAGATCCACATTTTACGGCAATTTGAGCTGTACTTCACTTTGGATGAGTGTCGATGAGTTTGCCATATTTCACCACTAGGACTTTTGCACCTTGTTCAAGGTAAAATCGCTCCAGCTACTTTATGTTGGATGGTTTATTTTTGTAAACAGTGATCTACAAGTCTAACCACAGATTAGTAATTAACTTAAGGTCTGGAGTTTATTAGGCCACTCCAACCAGGGGCGGAGCTTGATGGGGGGCCAGGATTGGGTAAAGGTAAGGGTGGCCGTGGCCACCGCTGTGGCCACCCCTACCATTTTTTCCCTCTAATACAGAGTAATACTCTCAAGTGGAATGCTCTAACTTATTTAACAATTAAATTTTCTATATGTAAACCATTAGCTGACAACAAAAACGCAGTGGTTAATTATGCACATCACTATACCAGCATTAAAGATAAATACAGAATTCATGCTCTTTTCAGAACTAGATTTTGTCCTATATGGGTAATGAGAAAATTGTCTCTGCAAGTCATCTAGGAATCTTCACTGAAATCAGAGATAAATAACTACTTTAATAATAAGTAATCCAGTTAATGTATATACTAGTATATGTAAATATTAATTTATGCAGAATGATTATTAATAAAAGTAGGTGAGTAATGACAATGAATAAGATCTTCACCCCAGAACTCAAAACTGACGAATTCTGTCCACTACACCTTTGAATTAGACAGCATGGATGTTTAAATATATGTGTATGTGTATATCTATGTGTTAGCAAAGGCTGTAGGAAAGTATAGTTTGTCTTGCTGTAGAAAATATGGATGCTGTGATTGTTCATTTTCCTTTTGGAACAGTGTAGATTGACCCTGAGGTTCTGGTGCCTATCCGCTTTTGGCCACCCCTCATTGTACATTGGTTATTGCATGGCCACCCTTATAAAAAATTTCTGGTTTTGCCTCTGACTCCAACTAAATTAAGTGTTTCCCTTTAAATTAGTCTTATAGTAGCTTTAACAGTTTGCTTTCAGTTATTGTCCTGCTGGAAGGCAAACCTCCATCCAATTCTTAAATCCCAGGCAGCCTGGCAGGTTTTACTCATTAGCTTCCCTCTATCAAGCCAATCCATCCTTACTCTGAATGGATACACAGCCATCCCTATAGCATAATGCTGCCAATACCATGTTTTATTTTGGCGATGGTGTTCTTGAGATGATAGGTTGTAGGTTTTCACCAGACATAGCGTTTTTTCTTTTGGCTGAAAAGGGCAATTTTAGTCTCATCCAACCAGAGGACTTTCTCACCTACATTTGTG